TTTTTAATAAGTAGTGGCTTCCACACTGATCATAAGGATGATCTGTAGACATCAATCGGCAATTCAACAGACAAATAACTACCATGAATAGAACAACGGCATGTTAAAATAAGTAAAATGGTCAAGTTTGAAGGAAATCAGTTCAAAAATCGCGAAGATATAATTTTTGAAATGTGTAAATTTTCCATGAAAACATTAGTAGACCTACAAACCTTAGGACTAACTTGTACAATTGTCTTACTTAGTTAAAGATATGGTATGTAATCTATATACCGACAAAAGGTATTCCTATATCAGTGGCGGATCCAGGATTTTTTCAAAGGGGGGTTGTAGCATTGATTGAGGTGGTGGAGAGATATAGCAGACCAAAGGGTTAGGGAGACGATCATTTGCTGCAGGCGAGCATGATTGTTTCAGGTCCCACACACGGCGTATAGAAAAAAAAAAGCGAGTGTGATGTGTCCAGCACCCCTGTTGTCATCAAAAAATAAATAAAATAAAATAAATCACGATGACTCTCTTAGGGGGGGTTGCAACCCCCAAAACCCACCCCTAGATCCGCCACTGTATATTCAAAAGTTTTGAACCGCTTATTTCCTTCAAAATTCACGTTTTATTAATTTTACTATGATCTTTCCAACTACTTAAATATTCTTGTGTCCTGCAAATTTTGGATATTCTTTGAATTGGACCCTTCTCAAAAATATCTTGGATCCAAGGCTACATTGGCAGATAAAGCATTTCAAAAAGGGGAGTTCCAAAATGGCTGCCACGCAGAAAAAGCTGGTAAGATTGGCTTCACAAAAGGGGGGTTCCAATTTCATTCTACTGAAGATAAAGAACATGATTGGMTTCRCAATGTACAAGGTGTCATAAAAGAAGGGTTCCATGGAACCCACGGAACCACCTCTGGATCCGCCACTGGGCTAAGACGTAAATACATAGAAATCACGCTTCTTGGTGGARTTTGTGGCATTTCTTTTGCAYTGCAATGTTAGCCTCGCATCCAAAACAATATTAAGAAGGGTCTATTACATGATAAAAGCTCATTAACGCTGATAGCTTGCAGTCATCAATTTTCAATTATTAAGAGACATGTTATATACCCAAATGCCAACATTTTTCTCTCTCTTTTCTCATTGGCCAAGAGGTTACCACGCATGTGCTCTTATCGAGCCAAGAGCTCTTTTATCATGGCTGCGTGTCATCCAGCTTTATAGATTTACGAATAGTTTTTAGCGAAATAATAATTCTCGTTTCATAAAATACTAGTTTTACCTGCAAGTTAGTGGCTGCGAAGAAATGTGTAATCCAACTTTCCCTGTTTAGGTGAATAAGAACTTGTAAGTGTGTTTATCGGAAAAAGGAATAGAAAATTTGATACCTTTTATCTTGCAAGTTGACTTTTGACAAGTTGGTTTTATTATTAAATTGTCTATTTTCCCAGGAAATGCTAAAGTTTTAAAGTTTCCAAGCAAAACAGTCACCGATTACGTTATGTACGAGAACCCATTCATCCAGCTGACAGCGTTCACCCTCAGCATGTGGGTACAAGTCAATACAAGTACTATCTTTCACGCAGCCTTCTCCTACTCCACTACTCGTCAGAGTAACGGACTGTCGATGGAAGTCAGAAGTACTGAAATAAGAATATTACTTGATAATGAGATTCGGTAGGTTGGATTAATACGGGAAGGGGGGATGGGGGATAGGGCTGTAGTAGCGGTGCTTCAAATACAGGGATGTACCGCTTGGATCCAAGCACCCTTTCTAAGACGAGAATATTTTGAAAAAACATACCTGTTCAAGAATTAAACAGCACTGTGAATTTTAACTCTATCAATCGAAGACCTAAGAGAATGTAGTGTTACAAACTATTTGGTGGCGAAAAAAAAATCCGTTTTTCCAAAAATTGAATTAGTACCTAATTTATGGAGCCAGTATGGCTATCAAACCTGTTGCTGTCAGTCCATGATCAAATTGGATTTTAGAAGTTACTTTTTGCGGAGGAAGAAGCTATCTGAGCAACACCTCAGTATTAGTATTATTGATAGTGGTAGAAGTATGCATAGAACAACTATGTCTCTAATTAATGATAGGCAGCCTGTTTCCGCGCCTGTTTTGTCCTTTTCCATCTTAAGGTCGGTCAGGTTAGTTTTCTAAGACCCCGAGGCAGCAATTGGACAAGTTCGGAACAGTTTTATAACGAAACGACAAGGAAAATCGTGTTTATCAAGATTCATCGTCGTTCATCTTTGTAAATTCTGCAACGGAAATTTGCACATGGAACAAACAACTCTCATTAACAGAGAAGATCCTTTTGTTGTACTCTACACAGAATGTTGTATTATTTGCAAGATATGTGTACTCAGATCAATACAAAGGAAAGTCGTGGCCCATATTCCTCAGATTGTCGTGCATCAAGAGACACAAGCGTCCGATCCTTGTGCATATTATTCCAACGCTAAAGCCTCATTCCATGTGCCGCTAAATGGTGGTTTGGTCTTTAAACTTAATCCGGGTCCTGTAAGACTAGTGGACAATGGTTCTTGCATTAACAGCTCCAGAAAATCGAATTGCAGCACCAGGATGACTCTTTCTATGCACAACAAAGGAAACCCATACAGGAACACTAATAACTTGGTTACCTTGCGTCCTTCTCGTGGAATGGGCATCAGCCTGCATAAGCAGGTGTTGTTATGTAATCTCAATGCTTGAGTTTTCCAAGTGGCTTGTCATATCGTCACCACATAACATGCGGCTCATTATTATCTACAGACCGCCGTACTCAGAAGAACATCGTGTCCCCACAAGTGTATTTCTCTCTGAGTTCCCTGAATGTCTGGAGGCTCTGTTGCTATGCAAGGAGCAATTGCTTATAACAGGTGATTTTAACATCCACGTTGATGATCCTCAAGTTTCTGGTGCAAGGAAATTCTTGGCCATCATGGCCACACGCTGGACCTTATTATAATACGCATGTCTGAGAGCCTGGTCGCTAGCACGCCTGTTGTGGATCAGTTCATATCTGATCATGCAGATGTGTTTTGCTGGCTTGCGCCACCTAGACCTGCTCTCTCCGTGAAGACTGCTAGCTTCAGGAAAATCAAGTCAATCGATATGGAGCAATTGAAGAAAGACCTCCAGKCTACTGTGCTCTACGCATTGGAAGAACCAGTTACTGCTGATAAATTAGAGGCAAACGGAAAGGCGTATAACACCACAATTTCAGTTTTGCTTGATAAGCATGCTCCACTTAGGACCCGTACTATGGTCAGTAGGGCTTTAGTCTCCTGGTATAGTGATGACATTGATAATGCCAAGCGCTCGCGTAAGGAAGGATGAAAGGAAGTGGAGAAAAACACGGTCGCCCGCAGATTTTGCTGACTACAAGCAAGGCAAGACTTCTACTCTAAATTCATAGAGGATTACAGGACTGATGAGAGAAACTCTTCGGCGCTGCCAAAAAGCTCCTTGGTACTCAGGATGTGCTGCGCTTTTCTAATCGATTATCTTGAAAAGATTGTGTTGGCAAATGACATTAACATTTTTTTTTGTTCGCAAGAGTAGAACACATTCGTAGAGACTCTTCCGACCGCAAGCTAGTGTCACCAGACATGCTACAGATATCACATATCGAACACTGAGCTATTTTGACGCCCTGAGCGAGCGCAATGTGACCGATCTTATTATGAATACTGTCAAAACCTCATGCGCAGTGGATCCATTGCCGACTAATCTGGTCTGTGAATCATTAGATGTTTTACTGCCGGTGATCAGGAATATGGTAAATGCATCTCTGTYCACTGCACATTTCCCTGGCCAATGGAAGAAAGCGATTGTGAACCTTTTACTGAAAAGGGCGCCAAGGATACTACTTACAAGACCCTGCGTCCAGTTAGTAATCTACAATTCGTCTCCAAGATTACTGAAAGAGCAGTATTTGATCAGGTGCCCCATGCTATACTGCAGCCAATGAAGTGTTTCCTGTATTGCAGTCTGCATATAGGAAATCACACAGTACGGAGACGGCGCTGCTGAAAATAGTGAATGACATCTTACTTGACATAAATCACCGCCTAGAGACGTCGTTTGGTGTCACTGGAGATGCACTCAAATGGTTTGCCTCTTACTTGTCAGATTGCTCTCAGTGTGTTGTGGTTGATGGGGAAATGTCAAACAGATCTTATCTATCATTTGGAGTTCCCCAGAGGTCATGTGTAGGACCGTTATTCTTTTCTGTGTGTGCGAGTAAGCTGTTTGAAGTCATCAAGACCTATCTTCCAAATATTCACGCATACGCAGATACTCAACTCTACTTATCATTCAAGCCAGACAGTTCCGTGGGTGAGACCGAGGCAAGATCTGCTATGGAACGGTGTATTAGGGCTGTCAGGGCGTGGATGGTCGTAGATAAGTTGAAACTGAATGAAGATAAGTCTGAGTTCATGCTCATTGGAACTCGCCAGCAACTTAGTAAAGTTAGAGCTGATAGTCTCTTAATTGGTGACACTCCTATACTATCAGTTACTGAAGCTAGGAATCTAGGTGTCTGGTTTGATTCTAATCTCCAATTTCAAAATCATATAAACAAGACGTGTCAGTTAGCTTTCTATTCACTATATAATATTACGAGTATTAGSAAATACTTGACTCTCGAAGCTGCAAAGACATTAGTGCAGGCTTTAGCTATAAGTCGCATTGATTATTGCAACGCTATATCATATGGTCTGCCAGCTATTCATATTCATAAATTGCAACGCGTTCAAAATGCAGCCGCTAGGTTACTGACAAACACACCGCGCGCTATGCTCACATTACATGTACTCCTGTCATGATAGAACTTCATTGGCTACCTGTTAAATTTAGTATTATATTTAAGATAAATCTAATAACTTTTAAAGTTTTACACGGTGTAGCACCAGTCTATCTTATCTTTCAAAGAACATTCCAGATATGATTTAGGATCTAATAGCAATAACCGCTCTCGCTCGTCTTACATTAAAGTCCGCCAAAACCAYTGGAGACAGAGCCTTTTCAGTGGCTGCCCCAGTTTTATGGAACGCTTTGCCTCCATGAAGCCTTAGGGCTGAGGACAAGATTACTAGATTTAAAAAAGAATTGAAAATATATCTTTTTAAGAGGCTGTCTCTGTAAGAACCTCATAACCATTTTGGGTGAAAAAACAGATTTCTTTCAAACTTTGTGTGTGAGTGTGCCCTT